TTTCAGTTTGTCTGTGTTTACAAAGCGATTATCTATGTAAAAAATGGTTTTATCCCCGTATCTTTCTGTTAATTAATTCCTCAGTTTTTCACCAGGTTGCACTGAAAGTAGTTTTATTTTATAGCAATTTTGGAGCATTTTGCTTAAAATTGTAATTTATGTAATAGATTGAAGCAGCAAAGAGGTATTGAAAAAATAGTCATTCTTTGAACATTTTCGTTGCAATTTTTTGAATTTAAATAGTAATAATTACAAATTTTTATTTCTTGCTTCTCTCCAGATTATTATTGAAAAATATTCACAATTTTATTGAAAAATAAATTTGCAAAAAATTATTAATCAAGTGTAGTTTGCACAAGAACATTTCGTGCTTACATAAGTCCGAAGAATATTAATGCAAATAGGTTCACTGGTTTGTTTGATATCATGGAACATTTTATTAAACTGCTGAAAGGATAGAAAAATAGTTTGAAATAAATAAAAATTGAAACATTAATCAGTCAGAATTGTTTGAAACAAAAATCTCATTTTATATGGGAAGCTTATTTTATGTGTGAAATCTTTTTGTTAGATATCATGGAACATTTTATTAGGCTGCTTTAAGGATATCAAAATAGTTTGAAATAAATAAAAATAATTTGAAACAGAAATCTCATTTTATATGGGAAGCTTGTTCTATGTGTGGAATATTATTATTAAATATCATAGAACATTTTATTAAACTGCTGAAAGGATATAAAAAAAGTTTGAAATAAATAAAAATTGTTTGACTACTTTTATATCAGAAGCTTATTTCATGAACGAATTTTGTGTGAGATGATTTTCGTTCAGCTTTATACTTTCCAATAAAATAATTTTGTAATTTTGTAGTATATTTTAAAATACAGTCTGTTAATCGAATATTTCTTTTTCGTATTAATGCTTAATTTATTTTACTTGTTTCATAGGGCCGGGATAGCCTGGTTGGTACGCCCTTGGGCCCTTGTCCAAATGGTCGTGAGTTCGATCCCAACCGACCAAAGACTCCCCGTGTAGTAAATGGTGACTAGTGCCCTTTAAATCTGTCGGGGTCACTATTGTCTCTAAGTTCCCATAACAAGTTAGACCTCTTGGGGTACTGAATTGGACATTGATCATTCTCTGGTTCAGTTCAAAATCTGTGGATGAATGAATGAATGTATGAATGGGTCCACCCTTTAAAAAAAGGCTGTGACGTGCGTGTGTGTGGCTGAAGTCGCATTCTTGGCCATAAATGACGCAACTGAAAAACGAGGAACGCCCACACTGCCTTAAATTCACATTGTTTCACCAAGCAGGCTTGCTGGTTCTTGCAAGTGGTGGCATTAGAAACAACAACGACAACACTTGTTTTATATTCACTAAATCTTAAAAATATACCTCAAAATTTAGTTTTTTCATAACCATAATATTCAATATGATTCTGAAAACATTTGATTTGACATCATATTGGGAGGGGGCGCCAAAACTGAATTTGTCGTAGGATTTTGTGTCCGGGTTGCAAAGGCGGTAGATGTGCAAGTCTGACTACATTGTCACCATTATGATGTTGGTCACAAAATTATAGAGCTTTAAGAGGGCGCCATATAACGGGAGAAACTTTTTGTTACAAATTCCTTTTCACTTCCATAACTAATTTAAATATAGAAAAAGTGAGTTCAGACAAGTCAAGAGTAAGCCGTGAAGTTTCAAATACTGAAAAAAAATTTATATATTTCAATGAATCTAAACTATGAGAAGATGACTTCGGATTGAGCAATGGAGAATTTCTCTTCCAATAATCTGTTTGAATTTTGTTATTTTAAATTTTTTTTTCAGCAATTGAAACTTCATTGCTTACTCTAGGTTCCCCTGAACTCTTTCTTTTAAATCAGTAATGGAGGTGAAAAAGAATTAGCGATTAAAAGTTTCTCCGTGTTATGGCATTCTCTTAAACATCATAACCCCTCTAGCCCATTCCGGGTTGTAGCGAAAATGTGTTTCTTTACTTTTTAGTTTTTAGTACTTCTTAGTAGCAGTTTAGTAGTTTTGTTTAGTACCTTTTAGAAGTAGTTTTGTTTAGTACTTTTTAGTAGTTTTTAGTAATTTTAGTACTTTTTAGTAGTAGTTTAGTAGTTTTTAGTACTTTTTAGTAGTAGTTTTGTTTAGTACTTTTTAATAGTTTTAGCAGTTTTTAGTACTTTTAGTACTTTTTGGTTTACGTTTAAGTTTAATTTTTGCGTATTTAGCTGTAACTAGAAAAATGTTTAAAAGAATCGAAAGCTTTTTGCACGCAATTACAAAATTCGTTTATTCCAGGAAAAAATAATTTTCTATAATTATTTATAATTTTTTTAACAATTTTATTTAGTAATGGTAAAAAAATTCGAATTGTAAGGTACACATATTTTTTATGTCAATGTAATTTTAAAGAACAAAATAAGCAATTTGAATAAACTCGGTGTTATGGTTATTCAGGTATGGCAATTTAAAAAGTCAGCTTTTTTAAAAAATTATCACTCAAAAACTATTTGACAGATTTCGTTGAAATATTGTATTTTGTCGTTCAAAATTACATACTCTAAATTGATGTAAAAAGTTTTTATGTAATAATGGCGTTAAAATTGCACAAGTAAAAATTACTTTCATTACGCTTTGAAAATAATACGACTGCTAATAACAATTGCTTCTGCGTTTTGTTAAATTGGTTAGTGTAGTATTTTTTTATAATCCTTGCTAAAATTAGGTTATACTTTACAATACGTAATTATATTTTTGTTATGGTTTTGATTTCAAAATTATGGGGTCTGAGAGATCAGATAAACACTCAGAGGTGCCTTCAATGGTTTTTAAAAATATTTTTATGTTTTAATAGTCGCAAAAAATTTAATACAGAAATATACATTAGAAATTACTATACCTTCTTTTTTAGACATAAAGGAACTAGTAGAGGATTAACTCATTATTTGATTTAACCCTTCTAATGTGAACTAAAACTAGAACTATGAGAACTAGAACAAGAAGAATAATTTTACTATGATAAATTTAAAGATATATAAACCGCGATTAAATTAATCGGGTTTATTTAGGATTTTTATTTTATTTAAGAATGAGAAATAAATTTTTTTATCATTGTAGGAAAACATATTTCCATAAAAAAAAAGATTTTCAGAAACATTATGCTTAATAAATCGAAATGTTTTTGAATTTTGCTAAATTGGATAATACTACGTTTTTATCATATTTTTAAAAAATTTTCAATTCTGTTCTAAAATAATGAGTAGTTTAAAGGGCTGAGAAAAGTATTTAGATTGTTATAAATTTAAAGGTATTAAGCTTTTCTCGTCATACTTGTGGTTTTCATAAAATTTAGTTTTATTGCAATGGAAAAGATAAGGAAAGGGCAATCGAATGTTAATGGAAAATATGAGGAAAATGCAACTTTGTAGACAAAAACATTTTTCCTAATTAGAAACGTCATTGAATTTAGTTAAATTATTATATCATTACCATTTTTGTTATTACACCCTATTTCATCGTTTAATTTACTTATTCTTTTTCTTTTTTGCAACTCTTTTCTTCCTATCCCAAACTATGTGTAGTTTAAGGGCTTAGAAAGTTCTTTAGAATATTATAAATTTAGAGAAATTATGCTTATTTGAAATAATAGTGATTTAAAAAAAAATTATTTTCCTGAAATAAGTGATAGAAAATGACAAAGAAAAAGCCATTTTTTATGAAAAGTTAATAAATAAATAAATATTACGTCGTTTAGATAGAAATGTTATTCAGTTTTGTTAAATTGATTATTGCAGTGTTTTTTCAGTCTCTCACAAAACATACAGTTTAAGGGATAAATCAATTGTTTTGATTATTATAAACTCAACGAATTCAAACTTATATGTCATAGTTTTATTTTATTTAATAACCGACATCGAACCGCCTACTTAATTCTGAGTTTGCGACTATCAATGGTCAATTCCATTGCCTTGTTATTTTGAACCCAACCCAGATGACAAGTGAACTTTTGGATCAAACATTTGGATAAACTGGCCTTCGTGGAGGAAATTTTTGATGTAACGAACCCACATTTGCGTTACATGGAGCGGAAAACAGCGAAAATCTCCCATGGTTAGCCCAATGACAGGATTATTCTAACCCACGATCTGTCTACCTTTGATTATATTTTACGTCAGCACTCTGGTTGGTTTTTTATGTTTTTGATAAAAAATTCATAGATGTTTTAATATGTTATCAAGCACTATTTCTCCTAATTTAAGGAAGCAACTATTTCATTTTCCCTCTATTCTGTCAGAAACGTTATGACTGTTAGTTGGAAAGTATTTGAAATATGTTGAATTCGGAATTTATTTCTTTTCTCATAAAAAAAAAACGAACTTTTTTCTTTGTTTCATTATGGTGTGGATTATTTTCGAGATCAAATCAGATTTTGTTGCTGTTGTATTATCGTGTTTACATAAATTGTTTATCAGATTGTGAGAAAAAATAAACAAAACGCTATAATGTGAACATTGTAAATCACGCTAGATACAACTTTTAAATTTTCCAGTTTTAATTCTATTTAACTAAACATTCTTCAAGTTCTTCTGATAAACCTAGATGTTACGGTAAAATTTTATTATCTTCGAAAATTGCAAACTTCAAATTTTATCACTAACCTTATATTTAATTGACTTTGGAACATTTTACAGCACTTTTGGTATTTACGATAATTTTGTTAAATATGAATAAAAAGATAAAAAAAGATAATCACGTATCTAATTTGTTTCCCATGAATTGAGTGATTGACTGAAGAGTAACAATAATTTATGTTTTATTATCTAGGGTTAAAGATTATTTATTGTGTTCTACTTTAAAAATATTTTTATCTATTGAGAAAAATGAATATTTTAGTAGTTTTTTCCCACTCTGAGAGATAAAAAATAATAATAATTACAAAAAAATAGCTCTATTATTGAGATGAGGAAAACGAAGATTGCACGGTGGCTTATTGTGTTCGGAGTCCTTGAAACAAGACAAAATAAAGGGTTACCCAAATACAGCTGCAGTTTTCTTTTCCTGATCTGAAACAGAGGAAGCGTGTCGAAAACGGGTCACGGCGCTGTATTCGCTGACTTGTCTAACATACATATGAAGTTTTCTTCAGGATTCAAATCATAGTTACCTTTCATAACGATCATGACGGCAGACAAGGAAGATCTTGTTCTAGTAACAGGAGCTTCAGGCTTCATAGCTTTGCACGTGATTCAGCTTCTTCAGCGAGAGGGCTACCGAGTTAGAGGCACTGTTCGCAGTCTTAAAAATGAAAAGAAAGTTCAGCCCCTAAAAGAGCTCTGTCCCGATGCTCGGTACCCATTAGAACTCGTAGAAGCCGATTTAACAAATGATTCCGGATGGGATGCTGCTGCAAAAGATTGCAAATATGCAATCCACATAGCTTCACCTTTTCCAAATGCTCCACCAAAATGTGAAGATGAATTGCTGATTCCGGCTGTTGAGGGCACTAAAAGGGTTTTACGAGCTTGTGCAAATTCAGGAACCATCAAGAGAGTAGTACTGACGAGTAGCATTAGTGCTGTACACGGAGAATCAACAAATGAAGCTGGACGAGTCTATAATGAAGATGATTGGACAGATATTACATCGCCAGCTGTAGATGCTTACAGCAAAAGCAAAACCATGGCAGAAAGAGCAGCTTGGGAGTTCATTCGATCTTTGCCTTCTGAGAAAAAGATGGAATTGGCAACTATAAACCCTAGCTTGGTTATGGGTCCTTCTATAAGTGGAGTCGTCTGTACCAGCTTAGAACTCATCAAACGCCTTATGGATGGTAGTATGCCATTGATCCCTCGCTTGTACCTAGCTATTTGTGATGTTCGAGATGTGGCTGAGGCTCATCTGAAAGCCATGATAGTACCAGAAGCAGCAAATCAACGTCACTTGGTAAATTCAGCACATCTATGGCTGACAGATATAGCACACATTCTCCGTAATGAATTTGCTTCAATGGGATATTTCATTCCCACTTGGCCAGTACCTTACATTGGTTTGTGGTTTTACAGTTTTTTTGACAACTCAACTAGACTCATTTTGCAAAGAATTAATCAAACTTACACCTTTTCTAATAAAAGAATGAAAGAAGTTTTGAAGGTTGAGGGACATAAAGCTAAAGATACTTTACAGGACACTGTCCATGGCATGATAGATTGTGGTGTTGTTAAAAGGACCTGGCAGTACAGAAGACCTGGTGTACCGCAGTGAAATAGATCTTAAAACGTCAACATTTCTCATAAGATATTAAGCAAAATGTGCGTAATATTCAATGTAAAGTGCGATATAGTGAGAGAAAGCATGTTAAGTGGAATGCATCATATGTTTGTTAAATCCTTTTTAAAAATTTTCAATATTTCATTATGTTTGGATGTTTGCAAAAAATTTCAATTATCAGTTTATTGTGATTGAAGGTTTAGTGAAAAATAAACTGAATACCAAAGAAAAGCAACTTTTTTTTTATAGGAGTAAAAGAAAAATAAATAAAACAAGTGCAACTAAGTGATTATTTTAGAAGTGTTTCTTTTTAGTAACAGTTAAAATTATTACAGGTAAATGAACAAAGGTAACTATTATTTGAATAACCAATCTTCTATTTATGTGTGTTTATGAAATGTTTTAAGCTAATTTACAGATTTGAATTTGTATAATGCGTAGATATATATCTTTCTATTTTATTCTTGTTTTATTTAACAATGAAATCTAAATGTTTCCTGTTCTATCATGTGTTTACTTGCTTATTTTTTCATTATTTTAGTTGCCAGTAAACTGTATTTTCTTAGCTTTATTATGCGTGTCTATAATGCTATAACTACGGACAAATATGTTTTATATTTTATGATAATTTTTTCTTATTAATGCCAAATAAATTATATGATCAGTTGAATTTCTTTGATTTTAAGTCTATTTTGAAAAAAAAATTTAAAAAGTGCATGAATTTTTTAATTGTTTGGTGATATTTTACGGCTAATTTTTCCCTGTAGGATTAGTTTGATAGTTTTTCAAGTTAAAATATTTTAATAACTCTTTTTTTTTTAAATGATTGTAAAGATAGCTTTATTTGTTTCGTTTAAAGAGATTTTTTTGAAGGAAAAAAAAGACAGATTACACTATACCAATAAAAAAATCTATTTATTGTGAAGTTTATTTAATTTGTTTTGAAATTATTTAATAATGTATTAATAATCATTCATTTGTGAACAAATTTATATGAGCTTTGCTTAAAAAATAGTTCTAAATTAAGATCTATGACGTATTAAAGAATTTATGATAGAAATTTTAAGAGATTGGGTTTGAATTTAAATAATTTAATGAAAAATAAGCTAATCGCATTAATGGTTATTTGAAATGGTTAGTTGAAATAAATAATTATGCGAGCTAATTCTAATTGTAAGAGCTGTCTGAAAACTGTAAGTTTTAAATTTCTTTCTACAATGGTTGTTAGTTCAACTTCTAGCTATAAGTTTAAATATATTTTCTGAAGATATTAAAGTTTATTGAAGTAAGCAAACACTACCAAACATTTCATTTATTTGTTCTTCCAGGAATTCATAAACATTTGACAAAATTTTAAGATTTCATATTCATGTTATTTTGTAAACATTAGTTTGAAAGGAATGTTTCTAAAATGATATTGTGGAGTAAAAAATATATTATTTGATGAAGAAAGGAAATAAGTACTGTCAATCCCATTCTTTTATTTACTTTCTACATTAAGTGAGAGTTTAAACTTATATTTATGAACATAAATATAAATCTTTAAATTGTTTCGTAAGCAAACTTTTTTAAACAATTAATTTATCGCTCCTCAAAGAATTTATAAATTTTGAAGATGCTTGAGTAATTAATACTTGTGTAATTTTATGAATATAAATTTTAAAGATTGTTTAATTATGATATTGTTGAGAAAAAAAAACGAAGAGATAAAATAAGCACTAAGTGATAATCAAATCTTTTATATACTTTCTGCATTGAGCTAGTGATAAACTAACATCTATAAGCATTAATCTTTTATTTAAAATAGTTTTATTGAAGTAAAAAAATTCTTTAAACAATTAATAAATTTACAGAATAATTTTGAAAATCTATCTCTGTGTTCAGGAAATAATAATAAAAAAGTATGTTCCTTAGTTGCTTAAAAATCAAATCCAGATTACACTATGTTAACTCGCTTTAAAAACATATTTTGTGTTTATTTATTATACTGTTCTCAGCTCATCATAAGCGTTTACAAATTCAAATGATCTCGCTTTCTTGACAGAGAGTCACGTGTCTGGAAAAACAAAGCACGTGCAAAATCACGGTCTGTTAGATCTGAAAATCACTCATCCGAAAATCCTGAATTTTAAGTTGTACAACAAATGATTTGTTTTATGAAAAATGAATAATTGCATGGATTAAAATGTCTTTGAAACAATACAATATTTTTTGAGTTAATATTTCATATTTTGAGAAATGAATGTTTTGTTTTGGCATAAAAGATTAAAAGAACATTTATTTAATGAAAAATGCGTTACTTTAATACTGATTTTAACTAAAAACAATTTTACAATTTTTCATCAAGGGTCTAGCCTTTTTTTCCGACACATGTAATTACAGGTCTGAAACCTTTTAAATAATCTGAAAAAGTTGTAACTGTGCCGTTGGCTAATTGAAAAATTCGGTTCTTTGCAGTATCCAGTCATTTTAAAATGCACCCGGCTAATTGGAATAGTTTCTAATATTTTATAATAAACAGAACACTTTTTGACTCCTTGTAATAAGTCCAGATATTTAATGGATAATAAGAAAGTTTATCATTCATGGCTCAATTATTCAAATTCACTATGTTTCTCTATTTACACCTGCGGCGTAATGTAAGAATAATTGCGACAAACTGAAATAAATTTAAGCTGATTTTAATATTCCTGAAAAAAGTTGTAACTGTGTCGTTGGCTAATTGTAAAATTCGGTTTTTTGCAGTATCCAGTCACTTTAAAATGCACCCGGCTAATTGGAATAGTTTCTAATATTTTATAATAAGCAGAACACTTTTAGACTCCTTGTAATAAGTCCAGATATTTAATGGCTAATAAGAAAGTTTATCATTCATGGTTCAATTATTCAAATTCACTATGTTTCTCCATTCACAGCTACGGCATGATGCAAGAATAATTACAAGTTTAAACAAATTTAAGTAGACTTTAATATTCCTGAAATTAATCAGGCTAAAAGTTTGGAGGTTTTTACGAGCATTGCAATATTGACAATCACAAAGTCGCTTTGGTAAATGGGTGAATATCCGAGCTATATACTAGGTCTAGTTAAGTGCCACTGCCCGGTATACATTTGTCCGGTACTCCGAACACTGATGTTTCTCCTAATCTATGCTCACCAGATATTAAAATATCGATTAAATATATTAATATTAACGAATAAATCAATATCAAATCGGATATAAGAAATATTCCGGACATTCACTAAAGCAACTATGTGATGGTTGACATTCACTGGTGAAAGTCAACATTCGCCTAATTTCGGCAATCAGGGTAACATATATAAATATAATAATTGTTCAGATTTTCTTTTAATGAGCATTACGTTAAAAAGTTTCAAGTTCACTGTAAAATGTTTCATATTGTGCTGTTATCTAGTGAAAATTTCAAAAAACCTATAAAAAACATAGCTCGAAATAATATTAAGCAATGTAAAAACCTCATATTTGGAAATAATGTGACTTATTACTTTTTTACCCGAAGTCTATTATATCTAGATGTCGGATTTTCTTCTACTATATTTAAAGTGAAAATATTATATTTAATTTTATTTAGAGAATATTTTTATAAAATTCTGAATTTAAATTCATAGAAGGGATAAATAAGTACAATTGTTTTCATTGATTCTCATTAATAAAATAGGCATTTATAAACTTAAAATGACGTATGAAATCTAAAACTCGCTTCAACTAAAGTATTCTTCATTTTACGAAAATTATTCTAATTACGTTTAAAGTTATAGTTCAACGATATTAAAACCTGACTTAAAAGATCATTTTTTATTCGATATGCAGCTGTTTTGATGGAAAAAAATATCGATTCCATGCGCAACGGAAACTACTGGATGTGCTGTAAAATATCTTAATAACTTTTGTAGATCCTTAATATCTTTTGTAAAATCAGTATCAAAAATGAAAAGAAAATGCAAACACATTAGGGGTGGCAATTGAAAACAAAAATACTTTCGAAATCGGACAAACCACGGTGCAAGAAGCTGTGGTAAAAACAACAAGATAGGTTTGACTGCGGGAGAAATAGAGACAGGTTTAATTGGAGATTGAAACCTGAAGTCGTTCCTATTAGAAACACCTTCATGTTTCAATCTCCAATTAAACCTGCCTTGATTTTTAAAACATTGGTTGATCTCTGCTGTAGCCGGTCAGATTTCGATATTATTTTTGCCTTTTCCTCAGTAAAATATTACCATAATGTCAATACCAGACTTTTTTGCTTTCATTTTCGATTAGAATCCTAGAAGTGTATATTAAAGGCGGTCACTGCGGAACACCCTATATATTTGATAAACTGACTGTAAGGACTGCATTCAATTTAAATATTCTTAAAATCCTTATCAGTAATGAATTCATAAAAATATACACACAGAAAAACACTAACATTTAACTCAGAAAAAAATAAATAAAAATAGCATCGAGAACTAAAGACTCACTGTTAAAGAAGGCACATCACACTTCCCTTGATTAGATTGACAAGGAAAACAAAGAAGAGTTGAAAGACCATTATTAAAAGCATCTCCGAGTTTTAACAGTAATTAAACAGGTTTTGGTGTATCTTTCCTTACTTTCTCAGTAGTGATTAGCAACATTTTGATAGCGTTTTTGCTTTTTCTTCGTTTTACCTTCTGCTATCGTATATATACTCTCAACAACACAGCAAAGAACCATACTTAGGACCATACTTAAACCATACTACAGTTGACCCAGGCCCGGAACTACTGAGAGACCGACCAAAATTTCTAACAAAAAGTACAGTGCTTCTTAATTATTTTTTGTGTCGACCAGCCAGTGTAGTGGTCAAGGAACTGGCCTTGCATCAAAAAGGTTCTGGGTTAGAATCCCGGGCAAGGATGTTCTTTCATTCTCCGTACTATCTGTCCTTACTGTGGGAGCAACGTTGGCCCACCTAATACGAGGCCCCTGGAAAAGTTACCAACAAATCTGCCCTTCAGATGCCTGTATGGCATAGATCATTCCCCAGGCGGGAATTGGAAAAATAATATTTTTTGTTCCTTATATTTATATAAAAACTACAATTTCGTAAAGAGGATTATCATAAATACTACAAAATATGAAAATTAATATTTTTGTGCTTTTGAAAAAAGTCCGCAATAAATTTTGTCCTGGCTCCCATTAAATCTTTGTTTAACCTTGGATGTTACCTTCTTCCTCTGCTGCACTGCGTCTTTCATGAGCACAGCAAGGATAAAAATAAAGGGAAGGGCTAAGGATGCGATTTTCCAATACAGATGCTTTTAACAACTCGCTCTTTTCTTGGACATTTTCTTAATAAATAAATAAAAAAAAACCTAGATTTTTGTCTTTTTTTAGTTTAGGTAGCAACTTTTGATAGAAATATGAACCTGTACTATAATTGTAATCAACTACCACCAAAAGGAAAATCTCCAAAAAAGAGAGCGAGTAGTTAAAGGCAGCTGGATTGTATATTAGCGCACAGAACATAGTAGCAAACCGGGAACTACTATTCCCGGTTTGATCTCGCAAGCAGAGGGTAACGAAACGAAGCAGTACAGTGCTTCTATTGGGTTAAATTCCCATTGTTTGTTAGGGTATGGTTAAATTTTGAATCGTTAATAAATGCACAATAAGCTGGATAA